ATATAAAATAAGTTACATAATGGCCATTTGTAAGAAAGCCTGACAAATATCTACCAAAGAAAAGGAAAACAAACTTTGGTGAGCAATCAGTGGTTTTCATAACATTGTTAGCTGAATGTGAATTTGAGGTCAATTTGATAATTCCTCTTTACTCACATAAAAAATGTTTTATAAAAGGCTTATTTTCCAAATCTTGATTTGCCAATGGCTACCAAACTTGTTGCAGTTGAAAATTTTAGAGCAACATTTCCAATTTTCCTCTATTCACTGAAAAACTTGTTTTGTTTAAGATGATATAAACTTGTGCTCTACTATCTGGGTTATTTAATGAACACTACCGTGCAATCCTGGGTAATCCATAATATATCTCTTTAAGTATATCTTTCCTATATGTAATCATATTTTGAGTGCAAACTATAGATTAACATTGAACTGATTCTAATTAGGGCTCATGATGTAATTATAGTCATTACTCGGAAATGGATGTGATAGTTAACAATTCTATTTCTAAATAATTCTAATATATTCTCCCCCAGTTTTTGCACTCTATGTTGAATTTGTTTTCTATTTCCTATTCTATCTTGAAGTTGTTTACTCCATGCCTCTTCTCAATGCTAACCTTGAGATTTTAACTTTGGTAATTTCAGGATGCTCTATTAGTAAAAAAAAAAATCTCAGATTAGAAAGGAGAATTTATTCTGTCCTTACAGCTACAAAAATGCAGATTAAATTTTGTTCAAGTGATAAATTAAGAACTTAAAAAAAAACAGTATCGGTCTTACCTTCCTGTGCAGAATGGGGGAAATACATAATCCTTTTATTTTCTATTAATAAAATTGTCCTTGACAGTGTTATTAGAACTAAAGAGTTTTAAGATGTCATGACTGCAGAGAGTATTGCAATGCCCTGTATAAGCAACCTAAACCTCTAGAATATCTGCAATATAGATTAGCTGTTTTAACAGATATACTCTGTTTTCTTAGTAATCATATTAAAAATTACTTTTCTCTTTTGGAATAATACATAAATATTTGTAAGATTTGTAGGCCATGAAAAGAATCACTAAAAACTTTCGTTCTATCTCACATATGGACATGACGTGAGACTCATAATTTTTAGATCTTTTGTGTGGATAATACGTTTTAACAACAGGAGAAATGGAGCTGCTAAGGTCAAGTACCTTCATTCAGTTCAGTGAACAAAATACATCTAATAACTAAAGACTGAGTACAAAATGACATTACATCCTATAATTACAAGAGCCTGTAAAATGGCTATAACTTTGAATATATGGGAATGAAACAAATCGTAGTTTGCAATTCAATGCCCTTAATGGTACAGTCAAACCTTGACTCATACCTTTACGTCAAATCTCATGCATATTGAATTACATAATTTAGTACCTGCTGTCTCCAGTTCTTTGCTTAGGCTCTTCTCTCTGAGTAAAAGTCCTTTCCTTTTCAAAATTTCTCTTCTGCTGTGTTCGATATGGTCACTAAAATGTAACCACTTTTAAATCCCATACTTCCTCGAAACAATACTGAGGTAATTCTTTTCTTCTCTGAATTCTCACATTGCTTTATGAGAAATTCTTTAAAAGGATCAATTCTATATTATAATTTTAATTGTTATCCATTCCTATGATGTAATCATCTTGAAATCCTGGTTAACCCTTGAATTTTGTTAAACCTCTAAAAATTTGTATCAAAATATCTTACGCACAGTAGAAACTCAAGTACTGAAAATATTATTTAATTTTTAAGAAATTATTTAATTTTAAAGATTAGTCAGTTTTTTCATCGGGATGGCTTTTACAGACAAAAAGACAATCTACTCCAAATAATAAAGGGGTTATAAAATTTCACTGGATTCACTTGAAAAAGAATATTAAAGATCTCATCAATTTATTTTCTCTATTACCCAGGATGTGTATGGACCAGAACTAGACGTATATAAAAGACATCAAACTAGCCAGTAGTATCTGAGCTGTCATAATTTACTGGGATCTTATTTCATCGGTCTTATAGATTATGAAGTAAGCCTCAGAGAATTTGTTAAGGTGGGCTACATTCAAGGTTTTGTTTATTTCTTGAAACTTTATTTGGAGATTCTAGCAGTGGAGCACAGCTACTCTATACCCTTGACCAAGGACACACTCCTCCCTCTATCCAGGATGGTCACCCTCTTTGACCAAGAGCACAGCTTTGCAAGGGACGCACATGGAGTGGGGAGGGAGGAAGGGATCAGCTGAATCAACCCTGGTGATCAATGGGGTGATATATATCACTGCCAGATGGCCCTCACATCCAAGACTTTGCTATTTTCTGCCTTTTGGATTTAGTATACAAATGAAAAGTGATTTAATCTTAGCTCAGTGTTGTTAGGCAGCTATTTATGCTATGATGTGGGAAATTTAACAGAAAAAGAAAAAGTGATAGAGTTAAAACTGAGGGAAAGCAAGTGAATTTTAAACCTGAATTCCGCAGATTAAATGCTTACGGTTCCTTAATGTAGTCTATGTTATTTGAGCTGTGTATGGGGAGAAAATAAGAACAATTAGAAATGAAGAAACACTAAACATTTATTAATAGTCAGGTACTCTGCTAAGGGATTTACATAAATTACTTATGCCATTATAGCAATAATTCACCATGTAAGTAAAATCATTGTCCCCTTTCTATTGATGAATAAACTGAAGTATGAACACCTAAGTGTAGCTACAAGGTCAGTAACAAAGCTAGAGTTCACATGTTAGAACATTAATCTCTGAAATCTCATGACCTCTCCATTGTAATATTCTGAATAAACCGAATTTTTATCTAAATACTAATATTTTCCCTGTACTCTCTTTTCTAACATTTGTTTGACATTTTTAATTTAACAACATTAACTTATTATCTAACTATATACTCTAAGCATCCTGAATAATTATATAATTAAGGCATAATCTTACATCATACAGTAAATAAAACTTTCTCAAAGGCTTTCCCCTCTAGAGGAAACATGAGAAAGTTAAAGCAAATATAGCCTCAAGAGGCTAAGTCTGGCAGCAGTGTTGGCTCAACAAAATTTAAGGGAAGCCAAGAAATGCAGATAAAGCCTCAAACTGGGGCAGCTGAAAGAAGGCCAGATTCTTTAATCATCACATTAGATTAGAAACTTGCTACAGAGAAGAGTTAGTGGGTCACCCTACACCTCAAATGTATTTTCCTCATTTTAGAACTTGCTTTGTATATAAAATGTTTGAATAAATCTTTGAAACTATACATTTCTCAGTCGAACATAGCAAAGAGGGCTGAGGATTTAGCTCAGGGACATCATGCCTGCCTGGAAAGCACAAGGTCCCAATACTTGGTACCAAAAAAAGAAAAAAAAAGTAGATCATAGCAAAGAAACTTACTAGAAATTTCAATTTTAGATACACTCAACATTGCAAAAGAGATTTCTTTCCAAAGTCAACCTAGAGCCTTCCAGTGAATTTTAAAATGAAGGTTACAAAGGGAAAGTGTACAGACATCCATATCAAGATACACTGTTTGAAAACATCTAGAATAGCTGGATAAGAAAGCATAAATAAAGGGAAAAACTACATGTCAGTTCTCAATTATTCAATGTCTCTGTATGCATTCAGTGACCTTTATTAAATCTACTCTTATTAATCTTCTATACATGCAGTAGAAGGTAGAGAGGGTCAGCTTATAAATGTCTTTTCTCAGTAGTCCACTGAGTATTGCAGTGAACTTTGTAAAGAATACATGAGCATAGCAGCTATCTTAAACCTCAAGCATCTTTCAAGGTAGTGAAAAAATGAAGTACACAAAAATGTGTTCATGACTGTTGTGGGGTACGGCACACATATGGGTAATCATCTGTAGGAAATGGATCACAGATGGATGGCATATCAGTCTTGTGCTCCACAAACAGAGGTAACCACTTCAAACATCCCAAAGTTTCAGACATCACATACTTAGTTTTAATAACTCATCTGGCTCTCTTTCTGTCCTAATAGTGTAAATTTCAAAAAAATTAAGGAGACATTCATTCTACCTATTACTGTATATTTGATGCCTCAGATATTATTAAGTGTTCAAAACTATTCTAGGATGCATGAATGAATGAATAAAATGTATTCAGTCATTTTGACATATAAAAATAGATACAAGAAAAGATAATTCAACAAAAAGGCTCTGAAAACTTCAACTCCCTCAGAGCTGATCCACAGGGTATTGAAGGGAAGGAAATCAAGAGCCACACACCTCAATTATTTGAAACGATATCAGAGAAGATAACAAAACAGATGCATAAAGAATGTGGCCAGAATACAAAAGATAAAAGTAAACATATTGGGCTAAATAAAGCAATAAGCAAGTGTAATGAAGATTCTACTAAAAAGCCAGCAGAGCTAAACAAAACAAGTCAAATTATGAATAACCAACATAGAAAACAATTACAGCCCATAAAAAGGCTCCAAATAGAAATTTACTGCGTATCAAAAATTCTACTGAAAAGATGAGCAGCAGAGTGACCAAGGTGCAAAAGTGTCAGAACTAAAAGACAAGGCTGCTTTCAGTGAACTGAGGGATATGTTAAAAACAATAAGAGAAGATGAAATCAAACAACTCCTAGGTGATGCAAGAAAAAAAGGACTAAGATTAAGTGGAAATAGTAAAAAATCGGAAGACAGCACAAATGGCATAAAAAATCTTTACTGAAGGAGTAGCAGAAAACTTTCCAAATAATGGATAAGAAAGGAATATAGAGATAAGTGAGCCTTATAAAGCCTCAAACAGCCAGGCATAAAAGCTCTTCAGGACACATCATAGTCAAAATCCTCAAAGTCCTACACAAGAACAGCATCTTAAAAGCAGTTAGAGGAAAGCAATATTTCACCTATTAAGGTAACACCATTACATACAGCTGACTTCTCAAAATAAATCCTCAAGGCCAGGAGAGCCTAGAGTGAAGTGTCTACAGCACTAAAAGAATTTCCAACTCTGGGATATCCTGCAAAACTATCTTTCAAACCTTATGGATAAATGAGGTATTTTCATGATAAAAATTCAACTGAAGAAAAGTATAACCACCAAATCAGTCCTCCTAAAAGTTCTGAAGGGTATCGTAAAAAGGGACAATGAAGCTTACAACAAAAGGCCTAATCAAATGAATACATCCCGTAGGCTGACAAGTTAGGTAAGAGGAAAAATAAGAAATCAGCAAGAGGAAAATAAGGCAAAAGCAGAGTTAAGTCAATATCTATCAATACTAACTCTGTGAATGGACTCAATCCCCAACTCAAAAGATGTAGACTAGCAGAATGAATCTTGAAACAAAATCTAGTGCTAAGTAGTATGCAGTATGTAACAAAAATATTTAACCCCCCAAAAAACAGAAAGACTAAAAATGAAACAACGAAAAACTATATTCCATGGAGGAACTTGAATATGAGCAGGTACACCTGTATTATATTCAGACAAAGTGGATGTGAAGTTAATACTGTTGAAAAGAGGCAAAGAAGTTCAGTACATATTGGTTAAGAAAATAAGCTAATAGGAACAGATAATAATTACTAACTTATATGCACTGAACAATGATGCACACAACTGCATATACAAGTATTATTGAACATAAAAGACCATATAAACATAAACACAATCATAGTGGGGTAACTCACTGCCACACTATTGCAAAAAAAACAGGTGAACTAGACCAAAACAAAGAAGAAAAGAAATATTAGAGTTGAACAAAACCATGGAAAAAATGAACTTAGCAGATATCTATATAACGTTCCACCCAACAAGAGAATACACATTCTTCTCAGCAGCATTTAGAATTTTCAGTAAAATAGAATGCATACTACACAAAAACCAAGCTTAAGTAAATGTGAAAGAACTGAAGTTTTACCACTGTTGTTATCAAATCATAGCACAATAAAACTCGAAATCAGTGACAAAACATGCAGATTATGCAAAGGTATGGCAAGTAAGCAATATACTCTTAAGGAAACAATGGGCTAGAGAAGAAATCAATGAATAAACAATTTTAAAACTAAACAATAATGTCAATAAAATACACCAGAAATGGGCCAGTGATTTAGCTCAGTGGTTTCGCTGCCTGCCTTGCAAGCGCAAGGACCTGAGTTCAAACCCCGGTACCAAAAAAAAAAAAAAAAAATTATGGGACATAGTGAAAGCAGTACTGAGAGGGAAACTTATACCTGTGAATGCCCACATCATAAAAATAGATTGAGTCCTATAAATAACCTAATGCACTTCAAGGCGCTAGAAAGGCAAGAATAATCCAAACCAAAGCTAATAAGTGAAGGAAATTATAAAGATCAGAGCAGAAAGCAATGAAGTTAAATGCCCCCCTGAAAAATATACTCATTGAATCAAAGAGTTGGTTCTTCGAAAGAATGAATAAAATAGACAAACATTTACCAATCTACCCAAAAAAGACAAAAAGGAGAGAAAAGACCCAACAGACAATGCCAAAATAAAGTTTATAAACAATTACCTCACAATCATAAACGCCAATATATTGGAGAAGTCAGAAGAAATGGATAGGCTCCTAGATACATATGAATTGCCAAAATTCAAACAATAAGATTTAAAAACTCTAAATAATTCAATAACAAGCAATTAAACTGAAGCAGTAATTTTTTGAAAGGACCAAGTAAGAAAAGCACAAGTCTGGATAACTTTACTGCAGAATTCCACGAAAATTTCAGGGAAGATCAAACACCAATATCCCTCAAGCTCTTTATTAAAACTGATCCAGGAAGAGTACTCCCAAACTTCCACTTGGCCAAGCTATTACCCTTCTAGGTATTGTCCCAAAAGATTCAAAAATATCATATTGCAGTAATATATGTACATCATGTTAGAAGCACGATTCACAGTAGCTAAATCTTGGAAGCAGTCTATGCGCCCTTCAAGAGATGAACTCATAATGAAAACGTGGTATTTACACACAGCAGAGTATGACTCTGCCATAAAGATAAACTTTAGTCATTTAGAGGGAAGTGGATGCACCTTGAAAGCATATCATTAAGTAAAATAAAAGAGGCAATCTTAAATAGCATTGTTTCCTTTACATGAGAAACCCACAGTAAAAATAAAAATAAAAAATGAAGAAATTAAGATGGGTTATACAATGCACCAAATGCACACAAGGAATGTAAATATTATATAAAAATACATGTTTTAAAAAAAGAATTAGTCAAAGCCTCACATTCTTATTTTAACAATATCTTTTAGTAGATTTTGTCTACAAAAGTTAGATCTACTGTCTCGCGCTTGCTTTCTTAAAAAACAATTCTGAGTTTTGCATCTGTTAATTTTTAGCTGAAATTTTTCTGCCCTGGATTCACCTCAAATCTACACTGTCAATTACTTTTAGCAAGGTGCCATGGAAATTCATTAGAAAATCCTGAGGTAAAAGCCATGAAAAGTGCAATGATAGATGCACCAAAGAGAATTCTATTGCTTGCATCAAAGAAAGTATCCTTAGACAGCATAAGCAATTCCTTC